TGATTTCTGATATGCTTAAATCTAACTCCATGTTTGATGCTATTCAAACTGGAGTAAAATTTGCAAATAATATTGTCATGACTTTAAAATTCAGTAATGGATTTTAAAGCATTAAATATTGTAAATTGGAATGCTCGATCTCTTAAAGATAATGAAGACGAGCTATTTAACTTTTTAAGAGTTCATAACGTGCATATTGCCGTTATAACTGAAACGTTCCTTAAACCTGCCCATAAGGTTAAGAAGGACGCAAATTACTTGATTTATAGAAATGATCGTCTTGATGCACCCTGTGGTGGCGTTGCCATCATTATTCATAGACGAATCAAACATAAAATTCTTTCTTCATTTGAAACCAAAGTTTTTGAAACTTTGGGAGTTTCTGTTGAAACAAAATTTGGACAACTTACGTTTATAGCTGCCTATTTGCCATTCCAATGCGTAGGCCAGCAAAAGAATTTTCTCAAGGGTGACCTCCAGAAACTTACCCGTCATAGGTCTAAATTCTTCATTATTGGTGATTTTAATGCAAAACACCGCTCATGGAATAATGCTCAAAGCAATTCCAATGGTAATATTCTGTTTGATGATTGTTCTGCAGGTTATTACACTATTCAATATCCAAACAGCCCAACATGCTTTTCTTCTGCAAGAAATCCCTCCACTATTGATTTGGTCTTAACTGATTCATGTCAACTTTGTAGCCAATTGGTTACCCATGCTGACTTCGGTTCTGATCACCTTCCAGTAACTTTTGAAATATCCCAAGAAATAATTTGTAATCCCAACAGCTCTACTTTCAATTACCATAGAGCTGATTGGGAGCAGTATCGAACATTTATGGAATATAACTTCGATCCAAACATTCCTTTGCAAACCAAAGATGAAATTAATTATGCTCTTGAATCTCTGACTACTTCTATAGTTGAAGCAAGAGCTGCCTCAGTACCAAAATGCGAGGGTAAATTCGATTCAATTATAATAGACGATGATCTTCAGCTCTTGATCCGTCTTAAAAATGTCCGTAGGAGACAATATCAAAGAACACGCGATCCTGCCATGAAAGTTATCTGGCGGGATTTGCAAAAACAAATTAAAAAGCGATGATTTGCCCTGAGGAACAAAACTTTTGAAAATAATATTTCTAAATTAGACCCGAGTTCCAAACCCTTTTGGAAACTCACAAAAATTTTGAAAAAAATCACAAAAGCCTATTCCAGCGCTTAAAGAAGGTGGTAAAATTTTGATCACAAATTTGGAAAAAGCTCAGAAACTTGCTAAGCAATTCGAGAGTTCCCATAATTTCAGTTTGGGTCTTACTAGTCCTATTGAGAATCAAGTTGCTCGGGATTTTCTGAATATTTTCTCTCGGGAAAATATTTTTGATGATTCCTGGGGGACTGATTTGGACGAAGTAAGGTCTATAACTAAAAAATTTCAAAATATGAAAGCTCCAGGTGATGATGGAATTTTCTATATCCTCATCAAAAAACTCCCAGAGAGTACCTTGTCTTTCTTGGTAAAATTATTTAACAGATGTTTCCATTTGGCATACTTTCCTGATAAATGGAAAAATGCAAAAGTTGTTCCAATTTTGAAGCCGGATAAAAATCCAGCTGAAGCTTCTAGCTACCGTCCAATAAGTTTACTTTCTTCAATAAGTAAACTTTTTGAAAAGATAATTTTGAATAGAATGATGCTTCACATCAATACGAACTCAATTTTTGCAGATGAGCAGTTTGGATTTCGCCATGGGCATTCAACTACTCATCAACTCTTAAGAGTTAACAATTTAATTCGTTCAAACAAATCTGAAGGCCACTCAACTGGAGTTGCTCTTCTAGACATAGAAAAAGCATTCGACAGTGTTTGGCATGAAGGTTTGATTGCTAAATTGAAAAAGTTTAATTTTCCACTTTATATTATGAAATTAGTTCAAAATTATTTAACTGACAGAACTCTGCAGGTAAATTATCAAAATTCCAAATCTAATCGACTACCTGTTAGGGCAGGAGTTCCTCAGGGTAGCATTCTTGGGCCTATATTGTATAACATTTTCACTTCGGACCTCCCTGATTTGCCTCAGGGTTGCCACAAATCTTTGTTCGCTGATGACACAGGCATTTCCGCTAAAGGAAGAAGTCTTCGTGTTATTTGCAGCAGACTGCAGAAAAGTTTAGATATTTTCTCTTCTTATTTACAAAAATGGAAGATTTCTCCCAACGCTTCCAAAACTCAACTTATAATATTTCCACATAAGCCTAGAGCTTCGTTTTTGAAACCTAGTAGTAGTCACATAGTCACTATGAACGGAGTTCCAATTTCCTGGTCAAACCAAGTGAAATATCTTGGATTAATACTTGACCAAAAATTAACTTTTAAAGATCACATTGAGGGCATTCAAGCCAAATGTAACAAATATATTAAATGTTTGTATCCTCTTATAAACAGGAAATCCAAACTTTGCCTGACGAATAAACTTCTAATATTTAAACAAGTTTTTAGACCGGCCATGCTTTACGCTGTACCAATATGGTCTAGTTGCTGCACTACCAGGAAAAAAGCACTTCAAAGGATTCAGAACAAAATTCTGAAAATGATTTTGAAGTTGCCTCCCTGGTTCAGTACTACCGAGGTACATAGAATTTCGAATGTTGAGACTTTAGCACAAATGTCCAACAAAATAATTAATAATTTCAGGCAAAAATCGTTGCAATCCTCAATTGCAACGATTAATTCCCTTTATACTTAGATAAGATTTAGTTTTAGTGTTTAGTTTTAAGATATCAATTGTTATACTGACATGCAGGTTAAAAAACATGTTTAAAAAACTGAATTGCCAAGACATGAACAATGTAAAAACACTTAGATATATATCATAACAATTAAGGCTGGTAAGTTACTGCAGTAACTGGAGCACCTAGGTTAAAATGAAATGTAATTTATTTTGAATTTGGAACAAATAAAGAGTTAAAAAAAAAAAAAAAAAAAAAAGCTTTTTTTCTCGCTTTGGTTGTCTTGCACGGCTTTCGAAATTCGCGCTGTTTTCGTAACTTACATAATTTAGATGTTTCGATCGAAACGGATTTACTTATTCAATCGGTTTACTACGCGGATTAGAAACACTGGAATAAGAGACCAGCGGAGACACTGTTATGATTCCAATCGAACTGTCAAAAGCGGTTCCAATCTGCAATGTTTACAAATGGTTTGCTTCAATTAGGGAGGAGTATTAAAATCGTTTAACAATCACTCATGAACTCGCTCGTCGGTGCATTGGCGAAGTCACTCGTAAGCAGCTATAAATGCAAGTGATGCCAGGATTGCTATGATGATTATCTTGTGGCCAAATTCATGTTTTTTCTCCGCTGGTCTCTTATTCCAGTGTTTCTAACGCGGATGTATCTACGCGCACACGTCACAGCATTTTTTCCTTAATTATTTTCACGGCGAATGAGAACGACCCAAATTTGAGTTTAGTTTACTCATAATCGCCAAAAATGCAGAAACTCAGCGATGAGTAAATTTGCCTCATGTTTTCCCAGGTTTTTCCAGGATTTTCCAGGGAAAAATTCCCGAATTTGAGAAAAGTAAATATTGGATTCACTCAGTCTGTTGGTACTACTCCGAGACTGAATAAAATTTTGGTCAATTTCCTCATTTTCCGGCAGATTTTTTAGGTTTTCCACAGGAAATCATGAGACAAATTTTACTCATCGTTGAGTTCCTGCACTTTTGGCGATTATGGGTGAACTAAACTCAAATTTGGGTCGTTCTCATTCGCCGTGTTGAAACAATAAACACGGAATCCAGTGTTAAAGCTGCCAACATAGGCTAGTCCTTCTGTTGTATTGTCAACACGCAGAAAAATGGATTTTTGTTTCAGGGCCTAATGTATTTTGTTCTTGATTCAAACATATTGTATCACTATTTCAACAATACATATTTTTTAATCAACAAAATAGTTTTTAGAATCAACAAACAGATTATTAACTCTACAACCGGTTTGTTGATTCAAAAATATTTTTCTTTGAATTAACCGAATAATATATTTGAATCTATGCCAAAAATATATTAGACCCTGAGCCAAAAATATATCCATTTGAATTTAAGAATCATTTCTCTGCGTGAAAGATATAAGCAAAATTTATTCAAATGGGTCAAGCCTTGAAAACTAAGCTGTGACGCAGCTCCAGCTTAATACCCAATAAAAATAGGGGAGAACTCAATTTTTTTTTATGATTTTGCGTCAATATTTGCATTAATAGTTTCGGTTTGCATTTACAACATACAGTGTATCTCAAAATTGAGTGTACAGATGTCCTTGAATTTCAGAAAAACAGTTTTAAAGCACAATTTAAATAGATAGGGAAAATGGCTCTAATGTTGGCCTTTGGATCTAAGATTTGGCCCATCGTTAAAAATCTACTATTTATCAATTTTATCTAGATGATCGCGTCATTGGGCGGTACTAACGGATATTTTTGGTCACTATTGAAAATTTAGTCGATTTGCTGAATTTATATATGGGCCCAAATTAGGGGCATTTAGGCCAACATTACATCCATTTCCCAAACGTTTCTGAATTTCTGGCTGCTGAATCTTCATAAATTTATCAATTATTGGTACAGTGCTTATTTGGTTGCGTTTATTAAAAGTAAGAGTTATTTGAGAAAAACGTCTTTTCCCTGAAAACCCATAATATCTTAAAATATAATGAACTAAACTTTTTTCTTTTTAATTTTGCTCATTTTTAGTCATAATAAAGATCATTCATATTCCACTAATTTTACTACAATTCGTCTACTAAGTAAAAAGTTGAAAATCGAGCGTTTACTCAAATAAATCTAACTTCATACAGGTTCTATTCCCAATGTTTCAAAAAATGATCCACTAGAGTGTACGTTCAATTTTGCGATACACTTTATATATTTGCTTCAAACTAATTATTTATTTAAATAAAATTATATTTGTGTGCGCCTTTGATTAGTCAAACTCACCGAAATTTCCTCTCCAAATACGCAAGCTGGGCATGGGTGAAGGCAGTCCGCCTTCGCCGTGGTTTTCGTCCTGCCTTGATGATCAAACCATTCGGTGCCTCAGAGCCATTGATTGGTCCGTTGGCCGAAACAATACCCTGGTGATGGTTACCAGCTATCAGTTGCGGGTGCTGTTGGTAGGAATGATGTACATGTGGGTAACCAGAAGCCAAGGTCGATTCCGGTGAAGAGCGGTCCTCAATGTCGATGTCGATGTCACTGTTGTCGTCATCGTCGTCGGTTTCCGATGCAAGGCCTCCCTGCTGCGATTCTATTATGAAGGGTTGGCCGGAATAATAGGTAGTGAAAGAGAAGGGAACGAATCTATGTTAGCAAACGCTTATTTTGCTGAAGGGGAGGAGGAACCGGATTGCCTAAAGCGTTAATTAGACGTGTGTAAGGTTTTTACTGTTAGTAGAAAAATTGACGAAAGTGACTCGCAGCAGGTACGTGTTCCTACATTTAAATCTAAAATTGCACATTGTAGAAGGTTTTCCGTGCCTTTGTGTCGCTAATGAAGTGAGTACTATGCTCTGCTTTTAAACGATGATTTCTTGCTTTTGATGTAAATGCATACAATTTAGCACGTTTTTATACTTCAATAGATGACGGATGGAGGAAATGTAATATTTACACCATGAAAGACATGGGTGAGCCAGTAGTGGAGAAACTAAGAAAATTAATTAATTAAAAATAAATAAACGTCGTGCATATCATTTCTATATGTCAATCTATAGCTTTCAATTCAGGGTGTCGACTAAATGAAGCGAAACAAAGTCGCTGATATTTCTTGACTTTCCAGTCGTTTTTTAGAACCTTCCGCAGTTTTCAAAATTCAGAATTTAAAATATTGTAAATGCCAGGAAAGCAGTTAAAGCAGTAACCAAGATGATACTGTGATTGATAAAGATGTGTGGAGGAAACTGCTACCATCTCGATATTAATTAGCTTGCTATTATATAATCCACAAGAGTTTATAATACTAATAAATAATAATACGTTTGATCCCCCTCAACATGCATTTTTTTAAACTAAGAAACTTGCTTTAGGAACACTGTTCCAGTAGTTGTGGTGGTTTCTAACTTTGGTTTCTATAAAAGTGGACCACATTGTTTTTTATGAGTTCTACTATTATAGGAACCTTATCGCAACTATAGGTGCAATGGAGTCAAAATCTTAATGAAAATTAATTGTTTTCCGTCATTTTTGGTCTAACTTTAAGTTTGAAATATGCAAATTTCCTACCGAGCTACCGATGAAGAATAACATTTTCCGGTTTTCCCAACATTATTCAGCCACAATTACCATACCGCAAGTATAGGTACACCACTAGTGCTGGAACACCTACCCTATAAAATATGATGGTGCTCTTTGTAGAGCTTATCGTCTAGGTTTTGTGCAAGAGTATCCAAGAGAAATTTTCATGGTGAAAAGGTGAGATAGGAAGATAACAAACTAATTATATTTACCTTCAACCCAGCATGACTCTAGAACGATTCAAAATTAAATTTAATATTTTCTTAAGCTGTGGTTTTAATAATATCGATAAAATGTGAGCAAATTAATGAATCCATTTCAAGACATTTTAATGCAGAAAAAAAATTGCATCATTACTGAAATAAAAGATAAACTATCTCCGCAGAACAATTGAACAACATCGTCCCCGTTGAAGCAGAGAGCTATTGAAAACATAAGGAGCTCATCAATCGAATAACAATCGGCTCTCAAGTACCGCCATTGACATTCGAGAGTGGCACTACAGATGAGCGCTAACCTTTGAAACCGAATTCACGCTTATCCGTGTATGGTTTGCGTGTGTACCATTCTCACATACGACAAGACGGCGATTTCCCCCAATTTCCTATTGAATTTTTACCGGTTACAATGCAGACAGGAAATCCACTCAACTACTCTGAACAGTGCACGAATGGCGAAGATGCTCTAACCCGAACACGTTGGATGATGATGGGTTATTCTATGAATGTGATTGGCACGTGACTGGTGATTGTTGGCTCAGGAACGGTTTGATAAACGAAGATATCTTCTCCGGGAGTTCTCACCACGAGTTGCAGTAATGGGGCAATCAGGTAGCTCTTGTAAATCTAATAAGGATGACTTGTCTCCCACTGATTCAATTGTCATTTTCTGGGATGTGTGATTCTGGGTTTGTATATTGGGAAATTTAGCTGTAGTCACGTTTTGGTTATTTCGTTTACCGTGTGTTGTATGTTGTATGAATGTATGTATTGTTCAATGAGTTTATGCAAACTCTGATTGGTTTCAAAATTGGTTTGTGGTTTAGCGTTGTACTCAATTGCAAATAGTTTTTAACTGTTGAATAACCGTGCATTAAACATTTGTATCCCGTGAAATTAATAATGTAACCAGCAGCCTTTGTGATTTTGTGTGGTTGGTGTAAATAAAACATCCGTTTGACCCTATTTACAAGTTTCTTCATTTGAAGTGGAGATCATTGATTCTGTTTCTTATCCAAAATCCTCCTTGTCACGTCAAGATCTCGAGTCAATTCGAACTGGTAGAACTTGCTCGTATAAAATATCGCGAGCTGTTTTTACCTAATCGGAGTCAGCTTGTTGTTGAATTATGTTATGCAGAAGATATAAGAAGTTATCACAGATGCGTTAATATTTTTACTCTTCATGATTCTTCTGCTTGCAGATGGTCTTGTCAAATGCAATACAAATGAGCGTTGGTCACGTTGACGGTCTTCGACGTTAGACGATCGTCATTCAAGAATGACCGTCATCATATGATAACCGTCATGATATTGCACAAGCCTAATGCCGCAATTACACTTGAATGACAAACTATGTGCATGAGCATTATTTGTATAATAATTATATAATAAGGTGAGAAAAATGTAATGATCGTATGGTATAGGTGAGAAAAAAAGGTAACGACCTATGTATATGGCATGTTTTGATATAATGAATACTCCTCGTGTTTATTCGTGAAATTCACATCACTATACAATACATACATTCATACACCTTCTGGTCATATGAAACAGGTCCAAATCTTCAAAAATGCGCCCGTAAACTTGTTAGTTTTGGCACAGTTTATGGCAAAATAGTGAACTTTTCATGATTATTAACGTAAAATAACTCACCAACTTGGGGCCAGACCATCTATGATTAACATCGACAGACCGCAGCTAACAAAGCATATCTTAGAAACATTATTGCAAGTATGAAATCTCGAAGATTTTCGAATATGCGAAAAAGTAGCCAATTCGTGAAACTGATCCTAGACCGCCTCATCTATTTTAAATCTGCAGGTTGAGCAACGAGAATTAATTAGAAACCGTCATGCAGGTCCTAAATTGTACCACCCCTTTACTTCTAGAGTGCATATTAACACGGCAGTTGTTCGTCATTTACTGATACTGAGTGCCTAGAGCGGTAAAGGTACTCATGACCAACAGAAGACGAGTTACCTTTGCGAATTAAATGTGGTACTCCGGGTGTTGGATTTGATAGCCCGAGCCATTTCGCAGTTAAGCAAAATGAATACAAGTTTACGATTGAGATTACGATTAGTAAGAAAATGTTGTTTTCATGATGTTGAACTTTTCGAACATGACTGGAAAATTTAGCGATTTTCGCTCTCACTCATGTCTAAAGAGCCTTCATTTTGGTTTCAAGAGCAAAACAACTCTAGTGGAAATTAATATAAGAACACTTTAAAAAAACATTTATCCTCCCAATTTTAAGAATCAGAAAAATTCTAAATCATGTCCGTTTGGAAGCCACATTATGATTCTACAATATGAGCCTAAAAAAGAACCAATTAAATCATGTACGTAGGAGAAATAAATGGAATTGTGATTTTCTCCTTTGGAAATAAATATAAGGACGCCATACAAAAATGTATGGAGAATTGATCATTGACGAAACATTATTTAGCATGTCAACAATTATTGTGACACCAAAATAATCAAATAGTTTGTTCCAATAATCATTAAACTTCATTTCTGAAAAGTTTTAAGCAGATATAGAATAATTCCTCTGATTTTTAGATTTGGGAGGAGCCATGGTTTTTAAAGTATTCTTATATTAATTTCCACTAGTGTATTACTCCATTTGGTATTTACAGAGTTATGTTTTGCTTTAAATTTTGTCATTTTAACAGTTAAAGCAAGCAAAACGAAAGCATCCTGAGTAATAAAATACATGAACTTCACAACATCAAATTTAGTTTTCAATTCGACCTCAGACGCTGCTCGGGAGCCTATACGTCATTGGCCGAGTATTACGTGTGTACCTTACCGGTACCCGTAGTATAAATAGTAATTCACCCGTGTACTGAATGGGATTTGTGAGTCCAAATTCGATGTGCGAACATAGATTCGGATCACTACCTAGTTGCAGTATGCATGCGCTCAAAACTCTCGACGGTGCATAACACCGGTTGAACGCCGCGACCCAACATTGAGCAATTACGGGACGCCGGAGTTGCCCAGGACTACGCGCAGTAGCTGGAAGTTACACTACCCACGGAAGAGCAGCTTGACGCAGCTACTCTTGAAAATGGCTGGAGGGACATCCGATCCGCCATAGGTAGTACTGGTGCACGGCACTACACACTTAGAAATAACTAATTTTACACGTGATGGAATCCGTCTTTGACATAAAAGATGAGACGTAAACAAACAAGTCATGTAATACTACGTGCTCCGAGACTGAAAAGTTCGTTGCTTGACGAAAAGTACGTTTGATTGAGCTGAATTTCGCGTCTGTTATGACTCAAATTTATGTCAAAATTGACGCTCTTATATGTCACTCTCAGAGCACCTAAATATATATGATTTTTTCTAAGTGTGTAGGTACTGCGATCCAGGACCGAAGAAATGACTGGTTTGACGGCGAATACAAACTGTTAGTAGAGGAGAAGAATGCAGCATGGGCGAGAATGATGCAACATCGCACGAAATTGAATGTGGACCGATACAGACAAGCACGTAATAGACAAAACTCGGTTTTCCGAAGGAAGTAGCGTCAGCAGAAGACCGAGATCACGAGGCGATGCAAAATCTGCGAAAACGACACACGGAAGTTCTACGAGAAGCTAAATAGTTCGCGCAAAGGCTACGTGCCGCAAGCCGATATGTGCAAGGCTTGGACGGTAAACTTCTCACGAACGAGTGTGAGGTGATTGAAAGGTGGAAGCAGTACTATGACGAGCACCGCAACGGTGATGCAGCAGAAAACGAAGGTGGAACGTCAAAAGACCTTGGAGCTCACGCGGAAG